TCGGCGGGATGCAGTAGGTAGCAAGCAAAGACAAAACAAGAGGCTTTCCAGTAGTGCAGCCAGGCAATGACTTTAAGCTGGTGGTCTCTCTTGCTTCCCTTGCCTCGAGGTAGCAAAGGGGGGGGGGGACACAGATCGAGCAAAGTCGCACGATTTGAGTTGCAGCCCTCAAAGTCACAGTTGCACCGTCACGACGTCCAGCCAATGCGGAAGGGATGGTGATCCGCCTAGTCGAAAACGTGGTAGGAGCGCTTACATGCACGGAAAGTGTTCAGCATGTTGAAGCGGAGAGGAGACATGGGAACCGCTGCCGGACGAATGGTCGAATGGGTCCTGTACTTGGGCTTGTTTGGAAGGTCGCATCTGCGGCCGTGCTATTATGTTGGGTACATGACTGGGTGCCCTGTTCAGTGTAAAGGTCCGTGGGCTCAGGGTGCCTTGCACGTTAACTGGGCACGTCCTGTAAGTATATAGGCACTGTAGAGCCACGCTCCTCCATCGAGACGAGGCGCCACTTGTCGGGTCAGAGAGAATGAGGAGAAGGGATGATGGTGCGATCGGCTGCCCAAACTCTGTAATGTGCTGGCGTGAGCTTTCCAAAGGGTACCCATGCCGTTCGTTGTGTTGAGGCGCGTCGGTGGTGTGCAAATAAGGTGTGCGGGTTGGAGACCCCCTTATTTTTCTTCGCCTGGCCTGGCACTGAAAGCTGGCCATTGCCATGTGGGCGCGAGGGGGGGTGAAAGAAAACGACGTGCGATCCAGCCAGTTCCTGCTGCAATGCGCGATCTCCCGAGGGCCACGTGAGAGTTCCAACGACCAGATGGGACCCAGCTACCTTCTTACCTACGTACCGGGCTTCCTCAGCGTCTGCCTCAGCACGTCCCGGTCAAGAATACGTACCGAAGCACAGAGCCCCTGCTTACCTTGGGTACCCAAGGTACCTGCCCAGGTGCCGTTCTCGTACACGGTACCTCCCCATCCAGGCAAGAGCAGCTGGTACTTGGTAGATGCTCCATGTATCGTACCGGGCAGGGACCATGCAGCAATCCAGTACGTGGCCTTGGCCTTGCCCCGCTCACCCCAGCGCTTTCCCTTTCGATTGGATTGGCGGCAGAGGGAAGGGAAGGAAGAGGGGGGCGGGTGGAGGGTCATGTTGTTTGATGTCCTCTCTCCCATCTTTTCGGTGCCTTGCAGATCTCGCCAGCTCGCCCAGATGTGATCCTCCACAACCACGTTCCTCGACCCAGTCCCATCCTTCCGTTCTCTCAGATCCATTCTCCCTATTAATGTGCGATGAACGATGTGCACGTTCGCTGGCACCTCCCAGCGCACTCGCGCACAGTCACAAGCCCGTGGCTCCTGGGACTTCCTCGGCACCCCCGCTGCTAGCGAGTCGTCCCCCTCCCATATCCCCATGGGCTATAGGGGCTCCCACGATCAGTCTGCAGGGGCCGTTGCGGTTCCCGCTTTCGGATCCGGATTGTTGGTTTGATCAGCCTCTAGGATTGTGATGTTTGAGGGCGGCGGCAGGGCGAACACCAACAGCTCCGCTCGAAAGCAAATCTCTGCTCTAAACGGAATTGCCAGGCAGTCAACTATCGAATCGACATCCTCCAAGAGTGCGCAAAAGAATCCATTCCAAGAGAATCAAGAGGAGACGGACGGGACAGAACCCACCGTCTCTCCGACAAATCTCGGAAACCCGCCTAAGACTAATAATCCGCTTCATTACATAACCGCACCCTGTTTCGCTCTATCTGGTACTACGGAAACAAAACAAGACGGCGGGAATCGCCACGTCTGGCCTGACTCGTTTCCCGAATGTCATTCAGGGACTCAGCACCGAGGCAGCGCCGATGGGGAACACAGCGGAACTAGTCCCGAAGCCAGTGCTGACGCGCTGGCCTTGGCTCTAGGCACTGACCACCGTGGAATGGTGCCCTGAGGTACGAGGCACCTCGCAGCACAGGCCGCGCCTACGGCAGTCAGTGAGACATGTGAACGGATCATCTCCTGGGAGCTTCTCCACGTCATATGAGTGGCAAGCAAGACCCCCGAACACCGGCTTTCAGACACTGACCCTCGACAACCCAACACCCCCGACACCTCAGCCTCACAACGCAAGCACGCGTGTGTCCTTTTCGGTGCCAGGGGAGCACAAGCCGCCTGCTCGGATGCTCCTTCATAGCTGTCGCTCTCCGCTGTCAGCTGCTGTGTGCCCGCACTCTGCCTGAGCTCAGGCACCTCCAGCCCCCGCCTCCTCCCAATCAGAAACGGAAGAGCCCCCAGAAAGCACCGTCCAGGGGGGTGGGCTTCGAAAAGACACAACCCGGTCTCATCAATAACGGCAGCGTTCAATTTCCCCGTGCTACAGCGTCCGTGACTGGTCTCTCTCTTACCATGCAGAACACATGGCCCGAACACCGTGAGTCTGGCTCGCTCTTGCCAGAGCCACCTTGACATGACGACTTGGAGAGATGGATCATCGCCAGCATCCATGTAGCCCGCGACCAGGCATGCTGCTATCGGACAGATCTGGCGCCAGCCATCTTCGTCAGATGGGAGGGGTGAGGAGGCGGGCGGGCGGCTCTCATCCACGTGGCGGACAACCAGGCAAGAGGTGAGCAGTGCAGGTTACCTGCCAATGCTGAAAGGATACTGCCCGACAGTTGTTTGGTTGAACTGGCATCCGTACATGGGCGGCCTGGGCCTAACTGCTTCTGGATGCGGGCTGGTACAGGCACTATTCCTGCATGCTCTATCACCAGGCATTCAGCGACTTGTCAGAACTGTGTACAAGGGCTCAAGTACGAGTACGTGGACAACCTATGTCCGGCCGGTTCCCCGCTCTGGTCGCGCACCCTTAATCGCATGGGGACATGATCGCCACGACAGGCATGGAAGTCATATGGAGGCAATGTCTCGAAGAAGCCATGTCGATCTGGCACACACAAGTAAAGCATCGCATGGTTGCTGACCGTCAAAAGTCGGACATTCAGAGTTCGTCCCTACATATCTGCTGGTCTGGAAACAGCAAACAATCTGCCTGTCCTCAACCGCCACCCGCCTGCCTGCGATAATGTCGACTAATCAAGTCATCGATGAAGTGCGCGGTTACAGGCCGCTGACAGCGTATGAGATCGGACTGCTACTTGGGATTGACTCAGCGCTATCAGCGAGCACCATGCATGCCTCGTCAATCGCCACTCTCCCCAGGTTTTCGGGAAGGGGACGCGGGAAATCGTCCGATGATGTGTCTATCAGGTCCCGTCTACCGTATTGCGCGATGAAGGGTCAAGCTGAACAGCCTGCGGATCGTCATTTGCCATACCGACCACAGCTATCCACCCACGCGGCTTGTTGGTTCCTGTCGATTATCACTTTTATATCCGAGCGCTTTGACACCTCAACTGATGTCCGCCTTTTTGACAACCTTGGCCCAATTGCTGATCTGCCCCGCATCCATTCACTCGGTCGTGTAGGCTATTGATCACGAAAAAGAAAAGCGGACAACGTTGCTAGCCGCATCGGACCACGAGTGAGTTAGGTGTCATCGCAAAATGCCAGTAGTCGTTCCGCTATGGCCAGGTGGGAGGAGCATGCCTTAGGTTGTAGCCAACAAGGAGAAAGTCTGTCTCGAGGCGCTGTCTGGAGGCATTGTTAGGCGACATGACCAAGTTTCGCCGAGTCCTGCCATGTTGAGGGGCGTTGTGACAGCCTCGATATTTCGCCGATACAAAGCCGCCGTCATCAAACCCCAAGATATGTTGGTAGTAGCGTGTCTGACTTGGTTGTGAATGTCGCCTACCTCCCCACGACACGCGTGTACTGTTTCGACCCATAGAGACCGATCGACCCAAGACATCGTGACACTGGTTCTGCACGATCGACTTCATGACGATTTTCTCCTGTCCATCCGAGACAGACAAGCAGCTTTGCCCCGGTAAAAACATGCAGCAATCATTCCTCTGACTGAAAACGGCCCCCAACGCTTCGGCACGCCTCTGTCGCCTTCGTTGAAACACAGATCGGGGCGCGTATCTGCAGTCAAAGACAGCAGCCGTGACTCCGACGCACCTTGCCGCGTATACGGATTACTCAACCAGCAGCTTTGCCCCCTCCAGGAGAAGCATTGTACAGTAACCAGATGGCCCAGTAACTCCCATGTTTACGACAGTGTCGGCCTGCAGATGAGTTGGTGCTCAGGCGTTTCCAAAGGGTCATCACGATGCTGAGTCGCGGCACTTGGATATGAGCGCAAGCATCCAGGTGTGACGCTTGAACGCATCCTGAGGCAGAGCGCACCATGTTCCTGACTGTGGTATAGTGGTCACACAAGGCTAGGCAAGTCTCCAAATGCTCGGCGGCATTCCTCGGATGAGCCCGCCGCCACCTGGGTCACTGCCATGGCCCTCAGCTTCAGCTTGCATTTCATTCACATCGATCGTCCGTTACCTGTTCATCCGACTCGGCCTATACCCCTCGATTTGTACCCATCACTCGACCCGGTGTCATGGCATTGGCAATCATGCCGAGGACCGCATGTCATGTCTAGTCGATCACCTCCACCTCACTGTCAGGATCACGCCAGTTTCAGTCCCAACATGACTAGGCTAGCAATGCAGTGGGTACAAGAGCTAATCTCACACAGTTGCCCATTCGTGCCATAAGGAAAAGAACACTGCTACGAACGTATCGGTACCCCATGTGTCCTCGGCATGGCTCCTGTCTAACCATGTCGTACGCAAACACAGGGCCGCAACTAGAGCCTGTCGCAAAAGCAAGAAACTAGGCATACCACACGCGCTCCACGCCCCTAGTGCCTGACAGTCAGGACCGGTCCCGCCGATCAGACCTCTGGTCTACTGACATCAGGCGTTGCTCTTATGTAGTGTAATTGCTTTTACACACTGACACGCCATAGGGCCCACCCTGTTTCCGTGAACCAGGCTTGCAACGAGAGACACTTTTGGGGGGGGCGGAGGAAGCCGCGGAAAGCCTGTCACAGGGTAAGTTCCGACCTTGCAGATCCTTACAGCGACACTTGTAGTACGCACCATGACAACAGCAGTTTTCTGTCAGCCAACTGGGCCGGGGTAGCCCGTGAATAGGCAAAAAGAATCACAGCGCTGGCGTGCATGTCGACTCTGTGACGGTAGTTCAGGCCCCATTGCAGTGGATCTTTTCTATAGGTGGATTGGATGCTGGTGGTCTTGCTCTCCCAGAGAGAACAGTCCTGAACTGAACTCCCTTGCATCATGAGCGATCACAATTACGACCACAACCACGGATGACACCGGGGACGGCCGGGAACCCAGCATCGGTGCTGTCGGCGCTGTCATACTAACTACCAGTCGGGCGATAGCAGCGGGAGACTTGTATCACTGCCGAGCCATCTCATCTGCGTCCAGCCAGATACCATGGTGAACCCCACGGCTCTTTTTTGATCGGCGACTACCTGAGACGGGCGTGTACCAGATGCGGACATGACGACCTCGACCGTCACATTCTCGCCCAACCACAATGAAGAGCAGGCAGCGAGTTCTGTGTTGAGGCGTGGGGACACACGCGCCAAGAACGAGCTGCCGATAGTGTCATGCACGAGGTGCAGTTGTAGCGGATTGCAGTGTTGATGTGCCTATCTTTGGACGATGGTAACCTTCGATCGTGACAGCGCAGGAGCTGAGGAAAAGCAAAGGTGTCGTGACCTGAGGAAGGCCCAGGCGGCGATGCACTGCATGACGTGACGACGCCGTGGCGAGAACAAAACCCTCGCCGTCCGTTTCTTTTGTTTCGCTGGGAGCCTCGCGTGCAGGCACTCCGTACTTGCTCCACGCGACCTGGAGTTTTGCTGCATTTGGCCCGGCTGCGTCTCGTGCCCGAACCCATCCTCACGCTGCTGCAGGACTGTGCTGGGTATATCGCAACGTGACAAGTGACATGACCGTTTTCCCGAGGCGAACCGGTGCTTGTGTCCTTTGCTTTGGGGCGCGCTGGCGGCCTGTGGAGTTTGATTGCTTCTTCGCATTCGACTTTGTCCTGGCATACTCACTGCACGCTGGTAGTCGGTACTCGGTTGCGCACGCCCTGCCGCTGAACCGGGACTCACGCATGGGGCCGGGGGGGTTGCAGGGTCCAAGGTTACTTCGAGGAGTGGCACAGCATGTTGCCAGCCAAGCGTTCGGGATGTTGCCAGCTAAGCGTTCGGGATGTTGCCAGCCAAGTGTTCGGGCTCGATGTTGCATCTTGAAGGGGGGACGGGGCTGGCTGGCTGATGATGGCTGAGTGCCGAGTCGTCTGTTGGCTTCTGGTGGCTGCTCACGGGCGATAAACACAATGCCTGCTTCCGGGCTGGATGGACGGCAACCGGAAAGGGCCACACGAGCCATTCCGCTGTGCTACTCATTTGCCTGGAAGGCAGTATATCGGTTGGCGACAGCACCGCATACGCCGAAGGAGACTTTGCTTCGTGTGGCATATTCTTGGAGGTGCCGAGGAAGAGGACGGATGGTGTCAAGATGCTCAATGCCAGGAAGCGGTTCAGATATCGTGGTACGACATGCTCGAGTCAGCCCATCGAGGTTCAGGCTAACGACTGGCATCTGGACACACGACCTTCCATGTGCAGTCTCAGTCTGCGTTCTGGGTTCTGGGTTGCTTCACAGAGTTCAAGTGGACAGGACGGCCCAAGCAACACCAAGCCGGGTTGGGTTGGTGGGTGCTCGACGTTTGTCGGTCTCCTGGTTCGAACAGCAAGTCGGCTCCCCAGCGCCGTGGCTCCCACGGCCTTTATCCCTTTATCATCAGACTTGTCGCCATCAATGGCAGCAGCGGGGATCCGGCACCATCTGCGAATGATTGGCCTGGCCGCAGATGAGGGAGTGCCCGGATAGCCGATCTTCGGTCTCGACGGGACAGAGGCGGCGGACTTTCCGGCCTACATGTTGCGGAGTTTCAGCCAAAGAAGGTTATTTTGCGGACTTGTGTCGGCGGACTTTGGGCCCACCAATGCCGGCGCATCGAACGCTTCTGCGTCTTACCAATTGCTCGCTCAATCGACGCCGACCGCCGGATGAAGGCTTCTTTCATCTGACGCACTGCCTCAGCATCGAGGTCCATTTCATTGACCCTTGCCACCGTATCCCAATCACTTGACTGAATAGCAGATCGGAAAGAATGAATGAGGCCACCACAACACCTCCACAGCCGCTGAAGATGCGTGCCACAGACGACGCAACAGACAAGTCCCGTCAGAAAAGCTGCCACGCCTGCGTCCGCAGCAAACGCCGCTGCGATAAGCGGACTCCGCGCTGCACACGATGCGCCGAGAAGGGGTTCTCCTGTCTTTACGTCAACCTCCCGCCTGCAGCAAGCGCCCGCCAGCGCGCGGCGGCCCAATGTCCGATGCGGCCATGCCGCCTGCTCTTGACAGCTCACCGACGGAGACGGAGCTCGATGCTATGGGGGATGCAGTCCGATATGATATCGACCTTGATCCCATGCCAGACTGCACACCCGGACCCCAAGCCAACATAGACACATTGCTCGACGATGTCAACATGCTGGGCGATGCTCCGCTGTCTTTCGACTTGCCAAGTTTTGATTTTAACAACCTGATGAACTACATGACTGTCGATCAAGAAGGCGGCAGGATGCAATTATGGCACACACAAGACGCTCCCAAGGCAACGACTGTCCGCCTCGCGACACCGCCGCCTTTGGACCGAACTCCTTACCATTCCGCCAGCATCGAAGGCGGTAAGCCGCAATCCTGTGTATGTTCTCCGCCGTACCCCTACGCTTGGGTGAATCACACGTTCGCTCATAGTCTTCAGTCTAATCTTAGTCCCTGGACCATACACGAGCCAGGTTCTCGCATCGGCTTCGTGATTTCTAGTTTCAAGGATTTCCCGATCCTGCTCGCCCGCGAGCGCGAAACACCCTTCCTCCATCGCCACCTCTACCGCGCCCAGACCCCGCGTGCCATGCTTACCGCATACTCGGTCGCGACTGCATACGCTAACCGTACCGACGCCAACAAGGCCTGGGCCTTCCGCCTGCTCTGTGAGGCTGCCGACGAGCTGGTCGGGCGGCCGGGCCGTAGCCAGCCAAAGGATGAGGGAGTGCCGCAGGTCCCACAATTAGAAATGACAGTACCGGCCCAGTTTCTTACACCCATGGACAAGCTGGCACGCACTCAAGCGCTTCTCATCTACCAGCAGGTCCGCATGTTCGATGGTGATATCAGCCTACGCGCGCAGGCGGAGCACGACATGGGCAAGCTCGAGGACTGGCTTGGCGATCTTGAGAGGTATCGCGATAACCTCGCTGAGCAGTGGCTGCTCGAGGAGAGCACGCTCCGCGAGAGGCCGCCACGGTCTTGGGAACGATGGATATTTGCCGAGTGCGTGCGCCGGACTATCATGCTCGGCGCCGCATTCATCGCCATTGTGAGCATGTTGAAGACGATAGGCACGGGCGAGTCGCCCGACCCTAGCCAGTTCGCGGCCGTGCACCGGTGGACGTCGTCCAAGTTTCTATGGGAGGCCGACTCGCCCCTCACCTTTATGACGGCGTGGCGCGAGAGGCGGCAATACATTGTGCAGAACTTCTTCGTCGAGGAGCTGCCCAAGACGATGAAGGCCGCCGAGTTGGATAGCATGACCAGGCTTCTACTGACGTCGTGAGTCTCCATCCGCCCTGCCATGCCCTGCCATGCCCTGCCATGCCTGTCTTGTCCCATTCTTTGGGTGAGACGGGGTTGGGCACCGGAGTTGAAGTTTCTAGTGTACTAACTAATCTACAGGTTCATCGGTGTCGACGAGATGGAGCAGTGGATTAGCACCGGCGGGGTCTTCACCGAGAATATAGATCACACAAGAATGTGAGGCCGCAGGGCCGATGATCCGGCGAGCGGATATATTGATGGATGGACGAAGAAACGAGCTCTAAACGACAAGGGTTGTCTACAGGTTTATGTCTTGGAAGCGGGGGTTGGCTGGTCTCGTTTTGCTGTTGTTTTTTTTCTTATTTCTAGGTTTCGGGGGGCTGCGATTCACATGCATCAGTCGTGTGAATTGATGATGAGGCCTGATGTTTCTTCCCTCTTACTCTGTCCTTTCTTGCTGCCCCTGTCTGCTGCCCTCCCGCTTGT